TCCTACATAGTTAGTAGATAGGTGTTTCCTAAGCTTGACCGTGGTCCGATTAAGTCCACTGCTACTTCTTGCCAGGGGGAATTTACTGCCGATGTATGCAGCGTGCCCGCGGGGTGCACCTGCGCTGTTTTGTGAGTTTGGCAATTTTTCTGACGTATTTCGCGATGTCGCGAAACATTCCTGGCCAGTAATATATTCTTGCTATTCGAGCTATCGTTTTGGCAATGCCGAGATGTCCTGCTGTGGGTACGATGTGATATTCGTGTAATATTACCTTACGTTGTTCCTTTGGTACACAGCGTTTCCATTGCTCTGATCTTGGTGTATCATTGAAATTTAAATTATGTAGCACATGTTTATATAGATGCCCGTTGATGATGCGAAAGTTAGATTTTGATTCTGGTTGTGCCTCCGTTTCTCCTAGTATCCGTTTGTACCAAGGGTATTGTATTTGTTGCCTGATTGCTGCGATTTCTGACTGTCTTGATAGTGTATCGGCCACTCGATTACTTCCTTTTCGGTACTTGATTTCAAAATCGTACTGTTGTAACTCAAATCGTCAGCGTCCTATGCGTCCCGTTGGTAATTCAATTTTTTAACCACTTTAATGATTGATGATTTGTTAGGATTGTAAATTTATATCCCTCCAAATATTTCCTCATGCGTCGGATACCCCAAACTACTGCCAGGCACTCGAGTTCGGTTGCACTATAGTTTTTTTCGGCGTTGTTTAACGTACGGCTTGCATATGTGATAACCCATTCTCCTTCCTGCTCTTGTGTGAGTACTGCTCCTAATCCGTGTGTGCTTGTGTCTGTTTGCAGTGTGAACGGTTTTGTATAATCTGGGCATGCCAATATTTGTGCGGATACTAAGATTTGTTTTAATTCTTAAAATGTTTTCTTTTCGTTCTCCTCCCATTTACATTTTACATTCTTCTTCGTTAGTCGTGTAATAGGCGCAGCGATGATTGAAAAGTTCGATATGAATCGGCGGTATCATGATGTCATTCCCAGGAATTGCCTGATATTCTTTATATTGGTTGATGTTGGACAATTAGTTACTGCTTCCGTTTTTACTGGATCCGTTTTTATTCCATGTTGATCTATTATGTGGTCCAAATATTTTAAACTTGGTCGGTAGAAATGAAATTTTTCCGGATTTAATTTTAACCGTGCCTGTCTTAGTCGTTGAAACACTTCCTTTAGTATCTCTATGTGTTTTCCAAATGTGCTGGTTATTATGATGATATCATCCAACATACTTGTACGTCCGGTTCCAGTTCTGCTTCTATGATTGTATATCTAAATGTAGCTGGGGCTGAGTATAGTCCAAAAGGCATTACGGTAAATTGTTTCAGTCCACGCCCTGGTACTGTGAAGGCAGTTATTGGTTTACTATTCTTCGTCAGTGGTATCTGCCAATATCCTTCTTTTAGATTCAGTGTTGTTAAGTACTTGGCTCTTCTTAACTTATTTAATGTTGCTACTATCTGCGGTAATGGATATGCATCTTTCTCTGTTACCTCATTTACTCGTCTGAAATCTATAAAAAACCTTCCATCCTTTTTCTTAAGTAATACTACTGGTGAATTTCAGGCGCTATGTGATGGTTCTATGATTCCTTCGCGTTCCATTCGTTCTACCTCTGTGTCGATGATTTTTTGCATTGCCGGGTTACGCGGTATTTTTGTTTTATCGGTTCTGTTCCTGGTTTGACTCGTATGCAGTGTTCAATTAGCCTGGTGGGTCCCTTTACTTTTTCAAATTTCTTGAATTTGTATTGTAGAAACTTTTGTAGTTGTTTTTCCTCCTCTTTGCTTCGTGGTATCATTCCTTTAGATACTGTGTATATATGTCTGGTTCGCTCTAATCTCTTGTTATCCCGGATATGTTTATTTCTAGTTTGGCCTATAAATCGATTCCAATTATGGCTGCGCATTCCAATTTTGGCATAATATGGAATGTATGTCGACATGCTTTTTTCCCTACTGTAACTCTGGTAGTTTTATTATTCCTTCTGTGTCAGTCTTAGTCTCATTTGCTAGGTTTACAATTTTCTGTATTATAATTTTTCGGTATTGCTCTTTTTCTATCTGTTTCCTGCTGAGCGGTAACGCGGCTCGCGCTGACCGTCGCGATGGCGTCTTTACGCTTTGACGCTGCCGGCGCGCGACGAGGCGACGACGCGACGACGAACGCATCACATTACCGCTCAGCCTTGACGCACACAGCTCGCCGCGGAGCGTCTGCATGATCATTCACAAATTTTCTACAATTAATATCTCGATAATTATTGCGAATATCGAGATATTAATTGTAGAAAATTTGTGAATGATCATGCAGAATATGGTAAATGAGTTATAGTAGCGACGACTGCCGTCGTATACTTATACTTTAGGTCAAATTGAACAAAAAAGTCCTCTACCATTTTCCAAATAATCACATAGATTTTTAATTATTAATTAAAGAAGATTATTGCACGATTTTGCGTGATAATGCACTCATCTTCTTTAATTAATAATTTTCTTAATAAATTAAATAAATTTTCTTAATTAATTAATTAATAATAAATAATCCTCGAAATCCCAAAACTTTTATCTGAAACATTTTTTCCTAAACTGCACTGTTCAAGAGATATTTGAGGTGATCGATTCAAATGGTACACCCTGTATATAGGGTTCTCAAAAAGTCCTAGAATGCTAAAATATCTTGAAAACAATGTTTTTGAAAAAAATGTTTCAGACAAAAGTTATAGGGTTTAAAATTATCTATTTACTGATCTTATCAGTTTGACCCTGGGTAAGGTAAGAGCAAGGTTACCTTGAACTTTTCAAATAGAACGTTCTATTTTTTTTGCATATTCTTGTAACGTATTTTAAGAGCTTTCTAAAACACTATAACAAAGTATTTTTTTGTTAAGTATATCTCAAATTATGAAGCTTCAATAGTGTCAACATTAGCATTACCCAAAGTGTATCGCGTGGAGAATATATATACAGGGTGTCCCGCGTAAGACAGACCAAAAGAAAAATATAAGTAGAACACATAAAAGTAAACAAAAATTGTATAGGTCATTTTTCAAACAACCACGTAAAATTTCGAGATATTAATTAAAATAGTTGGACAAATTAGAATGCGCGATGCGACAGGCGGGACATACGGCTTGCAGCGGTCGGCGAAGAAAATGGAAGAACGCACACGTATACGGACGCACACACGGAGCTACTCATTTCAGTATGCCAAACGACTCACCTCTCTGGCCTATAAGATAGGCCCGCGAGCAATCATCCATTTTCTTCGCCGGCCGCGGCGAGCCGTATGTCCCGCCTGCCGTGTCGCCGCACTCTGATATGCTCAACTATTTTAATTAATATCTCGAAATTTTACGTGGTTGTTTGAAAAATGACCTATACAATTTTTGTTCACTTTTATGTGTTCTACTTATATTTTTCTTTTGGTCCGTCTTACGCGGGACACCCTGTATATATAAAGTAAAATATTCTCATAAATTAGAAAAATGTAACACAATTTGACCAGGTTAAACATTGTTAAACATTGGGCTTGTTAAACAATGGGAATCCCAATGTTCAAGTTTTCCAATAAATTTAATTTTGTGTACTTAGTTTAACACGTTAATTAATTAATTAATTAATTTTGACAATGATTTGGTCACTAATTAAGAAATCCATATTATTAGCAACTAAAGTTAACATTGTTTATATGTGTTTTTTGAAATTAATATGCTAGTTCTAATTTCTATTTTCAATATCTTTTACACTATATCTGGGATTTAAAAAAAGAACTATTATACGTTGCTAAAAACTAATATACAGACATTATATATAAATTTATTAAATTATTGAATATTTTATTTAAAAAATACAGCGAAAACTTTATAGTTCATAATAATATATAAAATATTAGATGCAAAAATTAATTTGGTGTTTTTCTTTAAAAAGTTAAAATTTATTTATGAAGAAAGTTATATATTTCCAGTTATCAAAATAATTTTCAATGACTCTAATGGCTGTTTTTTGAGCAATTGCTGGATTTCATTTTGATAAAAACTGCGCGGGTTGAGTACATAAAGTTATTTTTCTCTATGCAATTTTTAAATTTCTCTAAAGTGTGCATCTGATAAGTGATGTTGTAATGATCAAAACAGATAATAATTTGAAGGGATCAAGTCTGGTGGATAAGTCGCGTGATCTTTCCACAACCCAAATATTGAAGATGATCTTTTTGATTAATTACTTAGTTACCGAGCGTTATTTATGCTGTAAAATAATGTTTTTTTGTTTAGTAATCCATCTTTTGTTCTCTAATTCAATGCTCAATCGGTTGAGTTGTTGTTGGTACGCGTATTTCAATAGCTTTAGCAACGTTTTCTATTAAATGCAAAAAATACATTATGTACATTGTCGACGACAATTATGTTCATTAATTTTTACATCAATGTTGTTTATCCTGCCACCTCGTAGAGCGTTTTATGAAGGACGTTAATCACGCTAAATCTGCAATAGCATAGTAAAATATTTAAATAATTTATTTAAATTATAATAGATTTTATTTTAAATTATAGCGATTTTAAATTATAATAAATTTTAATAAATGATGATGAAGCATTTAAATTATAATAAATAAATTAGAAACGTATAAAACTAAAAAGTATACATGTTTAGCATTTATATATTTCTTTTTATTATATGTGTATCTCTATTAGATTAACTAATACATGAATAAAACACTAATAAGAAAAATAAAAAATAATATTTTCGTATTTGTAATGTGTATATATATTTATCTTAATTTAATTTTTTATTAACATTTATTATTTAGATAATGAAATAAATATATAAAAACGTAATTTTGTTTCATAAATAGTAAATTTATGAATGGTTTCCTTAATACATCACTTAAAATATATATGAAATGTAACGATACAACCACATTACTTTAAGATATTAACTTGTGTAACAATGCATGAAATGTTTTTAGGTAAAGTACTTCAAAAGAAGAAAAAAAAGAAAAATGCTTCAGATGATGAAGCATTTGAAGAAAGTGATGATGGCGATGAAGAGGGACGAGAGTGCGACTATATTTCTGATTCTTCCGATCCTGAATCGGAGTTGGAACAACAAAAAGAGATTAAGTCCGTCGCGGAAGAGGACGCTTTGAGGAAATTACTTGCATCTGATGAAGAGGAAGATGATGAGGATCAAACAGAAAAGAAAGAGGGTGAAGAAGATAAAGACGATGATGAGGAAGGAAAAGAGAAGGACGATAAGGTAACAAGATATAACAAGATAACAAGATATGTTATGGAACATTTATTGATAAACCACATGTTATATCGAATCTTATAGTTTTCTACTCATCAAAAGATACGAATTATTCCATTGCACTTATCGTTATCATTACATAGTTATTATGTTTTCAATATCTCTCATTTTAGGATAAGGACAAACCTGGTAAAGAATCTGATAAAAAGAAAGATAAGAAAAAAAAGAAGAAGGTTAAGAAAAAGGATCAGAAAAAATCGTCATCGGGAAAAGACTCCTCTAGCGATTTCTCCAGTGATTCAGAATCAGATTCCGATACTACGTTGAAAGAAAAAGACAATAAAAAGCCTAATAGCGCCCATAGTTCGAGATCCGCAACGCCGACACCAGGCACGTCTGGAGTGGTTGATCCTCTTAAGAGAAAACAAACCGGATCGCCGGATCTGTCGCAAGCAAAGAAACTAAAGTTAGATAATTTCAACTTGGTTCCTACGTCGTACATACCGGGAGCAAGGTACAATCTCATTTACGTTTATACTTTAAGTTATATCATAAAATGAGTTTCGTGAGAATTTATTGAAATTTTCGTTACACTGAAATGTTATCTGATTGTTCGTGCAATTAGAAAAAGATTGAATATTCGAAAACTAAGATATTTGCAATCAAAATTGATATGTTTTTTACGTGTTTCTTGAGTGTACTGTTCTTTATTTCATGTTTTAATATTTTCTAAACTATGATTTTTTAATAAAAAACTACCATAATATATTAAAGATTAATATATAAGCGTTAGACATTAAACTTCATAATTATTGACTGTTTTATTTTGAAAATACAGCGAAAGAATGCACAATTTATAGTAATACTCGAAATACATATACTTGTGCACACATTTAAACACTTATATCTTATACATATGCACATATTTAACACCTCTTATTTATGTATCTTTGATAGATTAAAATTGATGTGTACACAAATAAAAAAAGTAGAATATAATATTTTCGTATTTTTGTAATATTGTGTATATGTATTTATCTCAACTTTGTTGTAAATTAACGTTTATTACTTAGATAATGAAATAAGTGTATAGAAACGTAATTTTATTTGGTAAATTGTAAATCTGAGTTGACCTTTTAATGTACTACTGAAAATACGACACTTAACAATATACTACTTTGAACATAATTTACTTAACACACACAAACAACTTAAACGCATTATATTTAACTATTAATGAGCTGACACTTATGTGCGTGCATTTTATATCTTACAGCGAATCTGGCATCACGGAAGATGCGGTGCGACGATATTTGATGCGCAAACCTATGACGACAACCGAGTTATTGCAGAAATTCAAATCTAAGAAGACTGGTCTTACGTCCGAGCAACTCGTCAATATCATGACTCAGATATTGAAGAAGATCAATCCAACCAAGCAAACTATCAAGAATAAGATGTATTTATCAATCAAAGCACAATCCAACTAGCAACTTCTATGAGTGATCTTTGAAGATCATTTCATTGGGTTGATCTAATAGAGATGCTCAAATAATAGAAAGAAATGTTAAATATGTGCATATGTACATTTCGAAAGTCATATATAATTATATATGACTACATATTTATAATTGCTTGAATTGTGTGCTAGATAATACATGTGTTATAAAAGCTGTTTCTTGTAATAATGATAAGAGGTATTTAATTATAATTTTATTAAATATTTCGCTACATTATATTGACTTCTTGTTTTAATTTTTCCTCTCTTCGATCGAACAGTATAACAACGTGCGCAGACTAAAGCCTTCTTGTCGCTCGTGACTACGCCTTTATTTACTCAACACACGTGCCATTCCGTTTATCTCCTAGACGGAGCGAAGGGAAAATTTCCTTATGGAATAAGATGATAAGCTCAGTAATATACGTATATAAGTTCGATATGTATGTACGATTAAATGTCATACGATGCTGATAAGAATGCGACTTCAAGAATTTATCACTGATTTTGTAATACTCTCTGACACTCGCACTGACCCACGTTACTGACATCGTGTTAGCAGAGAAAAGTTAAAGAGCAGTAACGCCGGCGTTTTAGAAGATATCGATTTACACGACTATTTGACGCGCCATCTACACCCACTTTTAAATTATTATGTTCGCTACTCATTCTCAAACCTTGCCGGTAAAATCTCTATTTGGTGCGTCTGTGCTACGTCTATTTTCAGTTAAGTACATGTCCATAATTGTGTGTTTGAGAAACACGGCATCGTGCATGGACTTACATTTCGTTTAACATACATATAATCCTTTCGCTTGACATACCGTTATTAATATATTTGTATGCATATATGTATATCAAATATCACTCAGTAGAAATATAAGATAAAATTTTTATAATAATGATAAATTTGCGGGGAGAAAGAAAAAGAGAAATAAAACGATGAAATAAGACAACAGGATAAAGTGATATATTTTATTTTATGAAATATTGAATAGAAATTATAAAATATATTTATTTTAATTTTTTTTTTATGTATTTATATATTAGTATTTTTTCATGGATAGTATATCGTTGATTGTTATTTTCAGCATCACAAATATTACAAAATTTTTTACTGCAAATAAATAGATAAATAAATATATATATCTATTTTTTTTTTGTAATTAGGGCACTCATTTTTTCAACGTGCGCGCCTTGTATCGAAATTTTACATCGTTTAGAAATGCTTTCTCAATTTCATCGAGAATTAAAGTTAGGCTCTAATTTTCTAATTTAGCCGACGAGATATATATATATATATATATATATATATATATATATATATATATATATATATATATATCATATGTATGTATGCGTATTGTAATATCCCAGATCATAAGGTCTCTTGGAGAGTTCGTAGGAAATTATTATATTAACTATTATATTAATTATTATATTACATTGTAATTTAATAGTTGTAATATAATTGTAATAATTATATTGTAATAAAATAATAATATTACTATTATATTAGGTGTACAACTTTGCTTCCGCCGTTTTTTTCCGAAATTCGAGGCTTTATTGTAAAAAATTGGTTATACATTTGTGATTCAAAATATTGTTCATCGCTGGCCACTACTTTCTCTCATCTTTCGGGCAGTGTACGAATCCCGCGTCGAAAAAACTGGTCATCTTTTGAGGCGATCCACGAATCGATCCAATTTTTTACTTCTTCATAAGACCGGAAGTGCTGGTCAGCCAGGCCGTGTGCCATTGATCGAAACAAGTGATAGTCAGAGGGAGCAACGTCTGGAGAATATGGCGGGTGGGGTAGGACTTCCCATTTCAACGTTTCCAAGTATGTCTTGACCACTTTCGCAACATGGGGTCGAACATTGTCATGCTGCAAAATCACTTTATCGTGTCTCTCGTTGTATTGCGGCCGTTGTTTGTCTTTCAATGCTCGGCTCAAACGCATCAATTGCGTTCGATACCGATTGCCTGTGATTGTTTCAGTCGGTTTTAACAGCTCATAATACACTACGCCGACCTGGTCCCACAGAATACAGAGCATGACCTTGGAGCCGTGAATATTCGATTTGGCCGTCGATGTGGAAGCATGACCGGAAACTCCCCATGATTTTCTGCGCTTGGGGTTATCGTAATGAACCCATTTTTCGCCCCTAGTCACAATGCGATGCAGAAATCCCTTCCGTCTTTGCCTTTCAAGCAGCTGTTCACAAGCAAACAAACGCCGTTCAACATCTCTCGGCTTCAATTCGTACGGCACCCAATTTCCTTGCTTCTGAATCATTCCCATGGCTTTGAGGCGTTTTGAAATGGCTTGTTGAGTCACTCCCAATGATCGTGCCAATTCTTCTTGATTTTGACACGAGTTTTGATCAAGTAATGTCTCCAATTCTGCATCTTCGAAAACCTTCTCTCTTCCACCGCTATGCCGGTCTTCGACGTCAAAATCACCGTTCTTGAAGCGTTGAAATCACACGACACGTTCTTTCACTAATAGCGGCCTCACTATAAGTATTTGAGAGCATTCGATGAGCCTCAACCGCAGATTTCTTCATATTGAAGCAGAAAATTAAAACTTCCCGCAAATGACGAGAATTTGGCTCGTAAACTGACATTTTCAATCGAGAATAACTTTATGATGCAGACACAAATCGACTAATGTTTCTATGGGGTTATGTTGACAGATGCCCAAGTTTATTGTATGACGTCTATGATCTATTTATTTCGACCACCACTTATCGTTAAAGCCATCTATAGGAAAACGGCGGAAGCAAAGTACACCTAATATTATATTACATTGTAATATTGTAAAAGTAATATTATTGTGATTATTGTGATTCTAAAGTAATATTATGTGCTATGTGAGTAATTATACTCATAACTCAAAAACTAAGTTTTCTTTAAAATTTACTAAAAAATATGATATTTCTTTCAAGGACAGTAAATCTTGTTTTAACGCACCCTATATAAAGATAAAATATAGTTAAAGATATATATCTCTTACATAATAGAAAAATATGCAAGAAAATATGCAAATTCCAGAAAAAAGTAAAGAAGTTAAGATAAATATTATATTTACGAAAGGAGTTCTTATAAAACATCTTTCTAATATCTTGTGAAGATTTGTGTTGTTTATCGGCCAAATTCGAAAATCGGATATCGCTCAAATTAGAAAATCTAATGCTAATTCTTGACGAAATTAAGAAAAATATTTCCCTCACGCAAAAAAAGATCTCAATTGGTACAATCGAATAGGAACCAACTAAAAATTAGGTGATCAGAGGCGATATATGGAGACTATTTCTATTGTCGCAACTGAAAACATTCAGCGATATCTTGACGAAAACAAGAAATTTCATAAACGTAAGTTTAGCGTTAAACGTTTGTTTAGCGTTTACGTAAGTGTTTGCGGGAGTTCGTTGAGAGTTTAAAAATTGTCAGTTGAGCGGAAATTGCAACACTATAGTGTTTGAAAGGCGTTTGCGTATTGAAAGAGCGTTTGCTGAATGGAGAGAAAACGCTTGTCTTATGGCGTTGTAGGAAAAGTGTTTTTTAAACGTTTTAAAAGTCTGACAGCAAACTTTTTGCACGAAGCAAGAAAGTTCGTCTAGAATTAGTATTAGATTTTCTAATTTGAGCGATATCCGATTTTCGAATTTAGCCGATAAACAGCACAAATCTTCACAAGATATTAGAAAGATATTTTATAAGAACTCCTCTCATAAGTATAATATTTATCTCAACTTCTTTACCTTTTTCCGGAATTCTGTATCAGCGTTTATTGAGCGTACTTTGAAAAGCGTCGCTTCAGCATCGCAGAACATTCACAAAATTACAAATTCCTAAAATTTTCAAACGTTATATACAGCATTTGATAAGTTCTGAAAGCGTTCAACATCCAACGGTGTTGAGTAAGCGTTCATTTTGAAAGGAAACTCTCAGAAAATTCTCATCGAACGGTTTATAAAAAGTTTTATTTTCGCCAGGGTATTAGAACTCGGTTGAGGAAACTGAGAACAATTGACTATTCAGAAATCCGATAAAAAAATTTTTCTGTTTCTGAACAGTTGAGTTTTTGTCTGATCAACCTGAGCAACCGAAAACTCGGTTGCACTAACGGAACTATTTTTTCCGTGCAAATAATGCAAAATCTCGAGACACGTTGTGGAAAAAGTATCTTATATAATTACAAAAACATAAATATATGAATTTATTATTCTGAAGATCTTTTGAGAACGTTTCTATGTCTTGAGAACATTATCTGGAAATTTTGTGCTGTCTAAGACTTCATCCTGTTATAACCATTTTATTTTACCTCTTTCTTTTTCTTTCTCATTTTGTGCGAATTTATAATTGTTATAAAAAATTTTATTTTATATTTCTATTAGAAGTGATATTTATATACATGTATTCATATAAATAAATTCAACAGTATGTAAAGAGAAAGAATCATGTACAGTGCTAAAATAGTTTAGATAGTTTTTCTGGATGTGTTTAGGAATGTAAGTCCGTGCACATGATGCCGTGTTTCTCAATCACGCAATTATGGATGTAGCACAGACACGCGCCAAATGGAGACTTTACCGACAGTGCCTGAAAATCGGTATAGTGAACATATGTAATAATTTAAAAATGAGTACAGGTGGCGTATCAAGCAGTCATGTAAATTGATGTCGGTCAAAACGCCGGCGTGGCCGTTCTCAGGCTTCTCTTTGATATTAGTAACACTGTAGATTCAGTTTAAAACACAGGCGCGATTTCTCCGGCGCGAAGTAATAGTATCGTTTCAGTCAACGCGACCGCCGCAAATCGGTTTCAACTGGTGAATCTCCTCTCTCTCTCTCTCTCTCTCTCACTCTCTCTCACTCTCTCTCTCTCTCTCTCTCTCTCTCTCTCTATCTATCTATCTTTCTCTTTCTCGAGTTTTTCCGCAAAAACGGCGACCTTTAACACTGTTGCTGATTCCTCGTTAACGAAGGTGTGATGCGGATGTTGGGATTGATCAGTGTTGGACGTAAATCACGTCTTTTGTTAACTTGCGCAACTCGTGCTGTCACTTACAATGATAATAAACGTATAAGTGTAAGTATAATTCTCTATAGAAATACACTTAACACTACCATAATTGAAGTTTTCAGCGATAATCTTTATTTTATCTGTTTTAATTTAGATGACTCAAAAACATTACGAATGGAAATATGCCAAATGTCTGAAAAACGTTATGAAGTCGTTCCTCTATTTCGTAAAACAGTTTTTTATATGTTTTAAGGGAATGCTATACTTAAAAATTTTATCGATAAAATATTAACTTTTTTTCTAAAGTTTACGCTATATTAGTTGCACAGAATTACTTTTATACGCTAGAAGTGCTTTTATACGCTGAAAATACGTGCAATAATGGAGCATTGTTCAACATATGTGACGCGAAAACAATAAAAATTTTAAAAATTAACATCTTGAGTTTTATTAGTTGGAATATATATTTACTTTGATATAAAAGTTTTGCAGTTTGTACGTACCGCACATGTATTTGTTCTGTTAAAGAAAATTTCAAAAGTATTATAGCATAACGTTTCAGGGTAAAATATTCAGTTACACGAGCTCCTCTATTGAAAAATAAGCTTTGAAAATATAAACAAAGAAAGCCAGAGTGTTCACCACGGTTTGAAAAACATAAAATATTTTTACTTTTAAGAGAACTGACGATATTTGTATTCCTTTATAAAAGTTGTTTATCTTGTGAATGACAACGTTTATTACTTGTTAGCATGCCTTTGTTCATATAACATTTTAACGAGTTTTATTTTCAATTTTATCCCGGTTCGATCGCGAGTTGTGGACATTCATTCTTTCTCATGGCAGGTAAAATTAAAGAGAACAGAAGTTAAGGATGCAACTTTTATTCGCACCTTACGATAAGTCTGTAGGGCTGGGTAACATTTGAAATAGTTTCATTTTAAATATGTATTTAAAATGGAAATGGCATTTTTCATTTTCTATTTTAAATATTTTTTAGAAAATCATTTCCATTTTACATTTTTTTTTTAAATGGAAATATTTATATATATAATCATTTTTAAAATAGGTAAATAGTTTTTCTAAACGCTCACAATTTCCCCTAACGTCATTGACGCATAAGAGGAACCATGTTCTGTGATTAACCAAAACACAATTTCTTTTATAGCCACGTTGAATTTTGCCACGTTCGCGAGCATCATTTGTCCTTGTTTAACTTTCGGTGAACAATAAGGATGAAATGATTCCGTGAATGGCAACTTGTCCATATAGCACTGAAAAATTGTAAAAACATTGCATAAATCTCTTTTTTGCATAAAAAAACTCGGATGAAAAAGATTGTGAATTTATAATTGCGACCTTTTTCTCATTTCTCTTGAATATCTCATTACCGAATCGAACATCACAGCACCGAACATTGTAAGGTTATGGGTAGGTTATAAGCTTATATATTTTAATGAGCATGTTACTGCAATTTGCCATTAATCTTACAAGATAATCTTACATTATAATATTGTCATTAAATTAATATAATCTTTAATATTTCAACAAAATTACGTGTAATTATTTCACTTTCTGTATATCTTGAAATACTACATAATTGAAATATCCCACATAGCATGTAATATTACAGTAATATCACAGTAATATTGCAATATCACAATAATATTACATGTTATAATGTAATATTACAGTAATATTATTGATATGTTACTTTGTAATATTGCACAGTAATATTGTTGTGTAATATATTAAATCCTAAGTAGCAAGATAATGTCAAATAATATTTTCATTACGTCATTAAAATGTTATTAAAATGTCATGTAATGTTACTTGGCACGTAATATATCGTATTGAAATATGAATAATATATTTCAAAAATAATATTATTTTGTAATATTGCAAATATCTTTCTTCATTCAAGAGGAACTTCTTTTCTTCGGGTAACTGATTTTGTCGAACTTTTGTAGGAATATAATATTGGTATAGAAGTAACAAACGCTATTCGGAGATTATACAATTCTGAACTGTTTACGAGAAACAGACATTATAGAAAGCTCCTTTTTAGAATAACTAACAGTAAGATTTGAAGAGGCTTATTTGCCTCTTCAAATGTGTTTATCTTAAGCATTGGCGGAAGAATATATGCTATCTCTCTCTCGTATAATAACATTTCTTACGAGATCGACTTTTTCTTTTTTTCTCTCAACTTACACCTTAGAGAATTTATAAACATTGTGTTGCGAGATTACTGTCGAAGCCTCGGTGGCCGAATGGAAAGGCGTCCCGCCCGGAAAGTGGGGAGGTTCCAGGTTCGAGTCCTGGCGGAGAAAGTTTTTTCGTAATATATATAATGAATTTATTTGAGTCATCGGTTTAATGGGGTTTGGGAATTTTAAATATATATATATATAAAATTGGGACTCAAGGATCGGTCTAAGTGTGAAAGGTAGATTCGCCGCGTACCTTAATCGAAGAAAAATTTCGATACGTGCGTTTGACATGCTGGACATAATTATCTTCCCACTATCATATTAATATTATATAAAATAATATTAGTATTTAATATTAGTATTTAATAGCACTAAGACATCCGTGCTTGCTCCTTATTTG